CGAGTTACAGCAGGTTTTATATCGAAATTCAGTATTTTTTGTTGGGTCCGTACGTTTACTCATTAATTGTGTTAATTCTATTTTTTCTGCCAACGTAAAACCTATTTAGTATTATTGTACGATACGTAGGCATAAACTATACAAAATTAGGAAGCAATCCTATTGTTGTGAATAGAGTTACATCAGGTTTTTCGTCGAATCGGTCAATTTATCGTAAGTCATGTCTGATTGTTCATCCAATAATAAATATTATAACTTTTCTGCCAACGTGAAAGTAATTTAGTATTATTGTATGATACTTAGGTATTAACTATACAAAATTTGAAAGCAATCCTATTTTTGTGAAAAAAGTTAGGACAAATTTACCATCGAAAAACTCGAGTTTTCGCTAATAAACAGCGTTTATTCATTAAATATGATTGTTTAAATATATTTTTTTAATCTTAAAAGGCCCTGGTTCATTGTATAGTCATTTGATGCAGGAAAATGACTGTTTGCTCTCTTTATTCATTAAAAAAAAACTCATTTTGAGGGGCGTGCCATATACTACGCAGGCTATGTCCGTCGGCTAGGTTCAGCTTCATCCTGATACAGAATGTGTTCCTAGTGCGGGAGTTGCCTTTTAAAAAGAAGAAAGAAAGAAACAAAAGAACTGCTTAAATATAGCAGGGCCTGGCACATTTGTCCTAAAACATGGCTCTACCAAGATAAAGATTTAGAAATTATTCTGAACCGTCAACTTTGTCAATTCTGTTTATGCGCGACCTGCAGTCAACTGCATTTCAGGGCTGTGTACTAATAATAATACAAAAACAAAAAGGTGGTAGCTAAAGCACCACCCTTTGTGTTTGTCTGATATGTCAGAGTCTCACTTTATCTAAGTTACAGTTTGAAGAGACATTATGTGGCATTAGATGGTTCAACGTCAACATATTCAAATTGTCCTATCCACATTGACAAATAAGAACAGTAAAACACAGATGTGATGTTGATGCAAACATTTTTTTTACCTGTTTACCTATCACGCTGGCTATATAGTGACTTTCACTATTTTTTGGAGATGGAGATCATTGAGAATAATTGAACAATTATCTTAAAAGCTGTGTATTTTCAATACTGATAATTATGAGCATATGACTTTTTTTGTTATAATATGTAAGTGTGTTCATTCATGCCATTTATTTAGAAGTGCAGAGCAGCTAGTGCTGATTTGTGACAAACTCTGTCGTCTAAAATTCTACCTAAAATTGGCATTTACTGAGTAGATTACTTGTAGGATGAGAAAAATAAAAATGATTGTTGATTGATCATTAATATCATGGTTATGACATACTAGTGATATTAAGTAAATTAAAATTTTGAAGGGCAGTTAAAGTACTGATTGGCCAGTGGTAAGCATATTTCTTGATGAATGTAGAAATTATTATGATAAGTATATGTTTAAATCATTATTTTAGGGAAAAGAGGATGATAAACATCTGACCTGGCTGAATAAAATTTTGTAAATCTTAAAACTAAAATTTTCTATGAGCCTAGGCATATTTTTGACCTAAGTATGCATTCATAGTATTTAAATAGATTTTTATTAAACATAGCACAACCAAAATAAAATAAAAAATGTGGACAACAATATTTTTTTCCACATTATGTCATACATTCAACAAATATTTCAAGTAAACTTTGGAATTGTAAGCATATCATTTAGATCACTATGATATGCTTAAAATTTAAGACTAAATATGGCTAGATCAATCGAAGAGACATAAAATAATGATGCTATAATTTTATCATAAATATTCTTCATATATTTAATGGTGATACAATATATTATTGTTTTTCTTTAATTTTTAGAAAAAAATCTAAAATTTAAGAAAAACAAAAATATTTAATTTACTAATAAATTCATAATAAGATAATTTTTTAACTAAACAGATGCACTAAAATGTGTTGTTATTACGATAAATTAAATAAAAACTAATTCATCAATTTAATTTAAATAAAAACTTAAATTTTAAATTACTTTGGTATCATGTTATAAACAAGTGAAAATGTTATCTTAGAGGGCAAAAAAATAGTTAAATACTTTGTCAAGATTTTCATGTAGTAAAGAATGTATAAGAATAAAAGTCTGTGAAAACTGATAACGCACCTTTATTCATAAACTGAATTAACTTAGAATTTCAATATTGTGGGAAATCGCATTTAAAGTTTGACATTCATGTACGTGCGAGTTCGTCAAAAAGAGAACGACGATCTCTTATCTCTGCCATTTTCATGGTATCGAGTCGGCTGTTGGATTGTTCGTGTTCTACTGATGAAGTTGATTTGGTATTTGTTAAAAACTCGAAAAACGTAAATTTTGAATTAATTCAGTTTATTATTAAAGGTGCGATAAGATAACATGTTTTATGTCACAAGAAAATTAGTAATATGTTCAAACCTGCATGATAACAAAAATAAATGTAAACCTAGGCATAACAGTCAAGACCAAGAAAATTTATTATTTTCTTGATCTTGACTGTACTGATACTTGACTTAATATTTAAACAAAATAATTTTGCGAGATTTTATTATTTACTGGGTCAAGTTTTTTATGATATCTAAAAAATAGAACTTAAGTGTTGATATATTTTATCATAGCTATCAAATAAATGATCAACAAAAATAATTAACTGGTTACTGTACCTTAAAACAGAGTCACGTTGTCTTCAATTTGGTGCAATCCGGTTTGCCACATCAATACCAATTTGTAACACATATCAGACTATTGGATTAGTACAATTTCACTTTTCACAATATTCAATACTCACTATGGATACTTACTATCTAGTATATATCTACAATACAGATAATAACCGACAACTAGACCACACGCCCACAAGTAGCAAACACAACACAAACAGTACTCAGAAGCTAAAAATTTCTAAGTAGATGCTTATAATAAACGTCAATAACCCGGCCCAAGCGCTTATAAAGAGTCGACTATTTTATTCAGAATCATATAATGAAATCGTATTGGTTTCGATTCCATCAATACACTATTTGCTGCTTATATAAAAAATATTTTGTACTGAAATCTTTTTCATTCATAAATAAAATAAAAACTAATTCTCTTTCACTTCCCTGGCCTAGCTTTTCTTTTCGTCGTTCACTCTCGCTCAGCCCGGACTATCAGTGTTGCCATAAAAAATGCTAGACTCGAATCAACGATAAAAATCGTGTCTATCCTATGGAGAAAATATAATTTAGTACCACTTCAATGCACAGCAAGTTCGACAAACCAACTTGTGTTCCCTTAAAAATATGACGTTTATTAAAACCAGAAGCTAGACAAAGTTCATGATTTTCCAAGTATGAAATCACATCACTCATTACCTCAACAGCCTTTAATTGTCCACTGCTGGACATAAACCTCTCCTTAGAAATAAGGTTTAAATCACACAATAATTCAAAAATAAATACTTCTTAACTTAAGTATTTAAAATATAAAGTGCAAAATATAATAATTATACCATTTGTATTTCAAATACACATTAGAAAATTTATAAAGAACGTTGAACGAGATAACATAAAACTAGGATTTTTTCTCAGTTTTTGATAAGTGAAAGAAGAATCAACTTTTATGTAGATTTAGTTGAACTAGATTTTAAAAATATGTTAAGTAGGGCGTAGGTACGACCTGCCTGATGCTAAGCAGATACCGTAGGGTATGGATGCTATATTGTTGTATCAAGCAAAAGCTGCTCGATCTATATGGGAATTCTCTATATTCGTTCTGGGCAAACTTGCCATCCAATTTTACTTTGGATGACGGGAGAAACGTAAAGTAATTCTTTCCCTCGATATTCTTGAGGTGTAGGTGTCCATAGGCGGTGTCACTTATCATAGGCTGACCCATCTGCTCGTTTGCATTTCTATACCATAACATAACTAAAAATCATCTCACCATGTTACCGGGTCAACATTAGCATTACTACTAATACTTACTAGTTTTGCTTTACCTCTTTATGACTTCGAAACTAAAAGGTGAAATGATATAATATCGCACAAACACTTTTCTTTTTGAGAATTTATAAAATAGCAGAATGGATAAAAGTTAAAGGAAATAATGGTGAACACATCGTTGTTTTGAATTGTTTGATTTCCTTTTTTCTCATTTAAGATACTGAGAAACTCCTATATCCACTTCGACAATTCAGACAGGCCTGTAGAACTGGTGACCTATTGATGAACTGATGATAGTTTTAAGTTGAACCGTGGCCAGAATCAGGGTCTGTAGCGAAAGTGTTAATAGGCCGATAGTTACCGCGAGGTCGGAGCGTTGTTACGTCCATGCTAAGCACTCCACTACAGTGTGGAGTAAAAGTGTTTTATTTTTATGTTAAGGGGCGCAGACGAGCAGTGTGTATTAAATCCTTGAGTGCAAAATAATGAAGTAATATTTCCTTTCATGAGCTTCCTTTTTTGTTGGGTTTTAATTTGTTTCTTATCGTCGTCTCATTCTTGTTTGAGTAGGGATAACAAGTTTTAGTTGCATATGGCGATCGTAAAAAACGTGCACTTTGAAATTCTTAAATCGAAATTTATGCTTTTAGTCGTTTAAAATATAAGGTAAATACGAGAAGACCGGTCACCTGATGGTAAGTAACTAAAGCTGCCAGGGAAAACTGCAACTCCAGAGTTACAAATGCGTTGTAAAAAATATTAGATGTCCGCTAGCGTATAATTATTTGAAATTATTGGATTATCAGTGTTTTACGAAACTCTTGGACACTTTTTAGTAAAAATAAGGTAGCAACCATACAGAAGGCATGGTCGCACTGATTTGTTGTGAAATATATAGTCTATGATATCGTTTGTTATTCTGTCATTTCTTAGCGCTGTCAGTAGAAATAAATAATAGGTCTTGATCACGGATACTATTATTGATCAATATTCGATTGGAGTGTTTATTTTCAACGCAATATTTTATCGTCACAAATCTTCGAGCGTAATATAAAATGTCTCTTAATACGGCTCATGCCGATCATGGAGTATTAATATATACAGGAGAGTGGTGAGTCATCGTTTTGATAGTGCATGACGACTGCGTATTACATACATCGTATTAGAATTTTCTATACTTTTCGAACCAAGTACGTTTATGTAGTTCAATGTCCAAATCAATATTTTTGTACGCTATGTTTTTTTTCATTAGGATATATTCTCTAGTGAAATGTATAACGTTATTTCGGGTTGTTCCTACTGAAATGTAGTATAAGTTAATCACTTTCGCGAATACTTCATTACAATTAATTCTACCACTAAAAAATATTAAAAACGTAACCGGCTGAAGTACCTAAATCAGATATTATCTTATTATTAATAGAGAAGAATACTGATGTAAAACTTTAGGTTTTCATCATTTTTACCCCACTTTAATGACATATTGATTGTACTATTGGCTCAGTACATGAATAATCCTGTGGAGGCACTAAGTGGTTATTCAAAAGGCAACATTGACTTTGAGATAGGTAATATTGAATTTCAAGATGGTTCTTTATTAAGAAATATTGCACTATGATAATGGTATAAACATGTATGAACTCAGGTATGATGAATGATATAAAATAGGTCATTGAAATGTGTGAAATTCTATTACTAATAGAAAATGTATTACTGATAACTAAATATTGAAAGAGAAGAGAAAAAGGAAATTTGTTTTACCTATTAATTTTATTAGATTGTTATAAATTCTTAACTAATTTAGTAAGAAATATTCAAAATTAAAATTTTCATCACTTACTCACACATTTACTCAATATTATTAAAATATATATTATTATTTTGTTTTTTGTTGTCACTCCTACCCATTACTTCATTTTAATTTCATACAGTCGAAAACAACCTTAATGCTTCTGTCTGCAATGAAACTGGTCACTCAGTTACATAAGTTCTCGGGAAGCCCATAGAAAGGGAGCTTCCAGAGAAGCGCCTTCTGCTAGACTCAATTGACGGCTAACTGCTGACTAACTGCTAGTGCAAGCTAACTGCTCGCTCTCCATTAGTCTTGATCGCCTGTGCCCATCGGTGTGTTAGATAGACGAGAAGATCAGCAGCTGAGCGACCCTGGTGAAAGCAATATTATCTGTCAGTAGCTGGCGATTTTATAAGTACTGAAGTTGATTACTCAGTTGATTACGGATTCTAAAATCTTAGAGAACAAAAGGGTAATGGCTATAGGCATGTAGTTGGACGGAGGAGAGCAGTCACCTTTTTTAAGGATCGTGCGCACAAACGCTGCCTTCCAGAAACTCGGGTCGACGCCTAGGGACTAGCAAAATCGCTAAAGGCGCGGTAAAACCGGTTATCTCTCTGGAGCACACTTAGTGAGCACACTAGTCTTAAACACGATAGTAGTGATTCTGTAGGCCCCAGTCGACTTATGAATATCCAAGGAAAAGAGTAAGATTTTTGGATGAACCGGATTTCCGTCATACAGCTCTGGCACTGCGGTATGTTTGGCGGTACATTTTCCCCGTCGTCAACAGTCGAGTTGGTTGCAAAGAGCTCACCTAGGAGATTGGCTTTCTCCGTGGCATCATTAGCCAACGAATTATCTCCCACCGGCTGGTGTGGAAGGGATTGACTACAGAAATTCCCCTGCCTTCCCCTCCTAGCCTTGGCAAGAGACCAAAATGCACTAGTTCCAGAAGGAAGTCTCACCAATCTGGCTGATGTGTTCCGATTCCGCCCTAGCAAAGGCTCTTTTAAGAGACCCAGAGGCAAAGCTGTATGTATATTCATTTCTACAGTTAAGGCTCCAAATACTTTCCAGGTGAGGTAGAATAAGTTTTTTGCTTTTTTTAATTAAAGATTGCCAGCGTTGCGATTTCCCATATGCACAGTGATTTTCGAGACATTTAGATAAGGGAGCTTTTCTTCTGAGCAGTTTGCTATTCTGTCTGGTCTTGATCTGCTTGGATATCTTAATTTAGCTAGTTGGTTAGCAAAGAGTTTGGTATCATTGGCAAAGTTACATTATATTTTAGACAGAAGGGTAGGTCAAAAGTATAAATAACATCACTACCGGGCCTAAAACGGAGCCCTAGTGTATACCGAAAGTTAGTTAATCCGACAAAGTTTCACCCACCCTCACCTGAGAGGATCTTGTTATAGGATTGCTCTAATCCATTTTAGCAATTTGCCATAGATTCCCACAAGTTCTAGTTTATGTAAAAATCTCTTAAATCTTTGATTTTTACATAAATACATTAAGGTTTTCTCGTAATCCAAGTGAATTAATTCGTTAGAATCCTTTCTTGTGGAAGTCTTTCGTCCGCGACCACAAGATCTCTGTCATATGATGTTTGCATAAAAGTAATGTGTGATGTCACAAGTTTTTGTAGTATGATCACAAGTAGTATGATCTAAGATTGACCTAATCTACACAGTCACAGGGAGAAATCCCTTGACGTTACGCAAAGCCATTGGAATGCTCATCTTTTATGTTACTTCTTGTCTTCTGCAATCAGCTAAAAAAATCTTTATTTACTGAGAGTAACAGTCTGTTACTAGGTAATTTTTCATGTGAACTCTGGCAAACTTTGTGTTAATGAAGTCTATTGTCTCTATTGTGTAACAGTATTATCCCAAATTCTTCTATCCAAATGTTTGACAGCAATGGCAGACTGGTTCGAATCGTAGATTTGGTTGTGTTCCGTAATTACCGGTTTATCTAGTTTATTGGATGTTGTTTGTCGCCATTTCAAAACTGAAATAGGTCTTCACTTACACATGATATACAACTGTTTCGTTATAAACGAATTCTAGTATTTAATGTTATACCTAGTTATTATAGACCTAACTGCTGCTGTGCCCAACAGGGTTCATAATAGTAATTGAGTTAAGACTTACTATCTAAAAAAATATTTTAAAACGACATTGAGTATTCGCAACGCAATTGAATTACATAATCAAGAGGGGCAAACGAACAGACGGGTCTCCTGATGGTAAGTGCCAATCACCGCCCATGGAGACTTGCAACTCAAGAGCCACAAGTGCGTTGCCGCTCTTTAAGTCCCGCCCCAAGAATTAGGGGATGTCGACTGATCGACAAAGCTTATTCTTGACTGAGTAGACCAGCGCCTTGCGCCAGAATTAGGGGGAAAGAAGAGAGGTTGGGCTCCGGTAACCTCACTCACTCAGTCAAAAGTAACGAAAGAATTGCTTGACACGTTATTTTTCTGAGACAGTGTCATCACACCGTATACATAAACATATAAACATAATGTCACAAAATCTTACATTCATGCAGATATAATAGTAATGACAGATATCTAATACTAGCTGACTCGCGCAACTTCGTCTGCGTCTCTCAATAGTAATAAATTTTCTCCGTTTTTGAAACATTAGTCATTGGTGCTCCGCTCCTTTTGCTCTTAGCGTGATGATATATAGCCTAAAGCCTTCCTCGATAAATGGGCTATCTAACACTGAAAGAATTTTTCAAATCGGACGAGTAGTTCCTGAGATTAGCGCGTTCAAACAAACAAACAAACAAACAAACAAACAAACTCTTCAGCTTTATAATATTAGTATAGATATTACAGAAAAATATACATAATGCGAATGCATTTAAGAAACAAAATATAAAATTACTGCTATAAATGTTCTTAAAAATATAGAGGCAAAAAAGTTATATGATAAAATACAGGAATGGTGATTAATAAACTTCATAACACAATTTTAAAAGTAATAGAATATTATACAAATTGAAATAAAATACAAAATAAGTAAAAACAGTAAAAAATTGAGTTGAATACACAGGAGGATACAGATCCACAAGTTAATGAGTATTCATTGAATTCATACAGATAAAAAAAAACTAATTCATGGTTTTTATTGTTTCAGTATTATATTATTTTCGGACAATGTCACAGTTGAATTTTATGGAAATGACACACCGGAGTTCAAGGGCCCAAAAAATGGGCGAATGTACCTCACCACTCATCGTATGATTTACAATTCAAAGAATTCGTCTGACACACTAAGGTCCTTCAGTTTCCCGTTTATTGCTCTGGGAGATGTAAGTAATGTTCATTTTAATTATTGATTATGCCTTTTACTATATTATTCCTGTTAACCTCTTTCAACAATTTCATTGGCACACGTAAAATATGAATGCTAATAAGTATCGTGTAGTTAAATGTATATTTTGGAGCACAGAGAAAAATTCATTCATTCATTCTGAGGTTGATTCTCTATTTTGGTAAAAATATATTTGAATATTCTTCAATGAGGATTCTTTATAGGTTTATCTATATTTAAAACATTTTTTTTTCTATTTAAGGTTACTGTTGAACAGCCAATGTTCTCTGCTAATTTTATACGAGGAAAGGTGACCGCACAGCCTAACGGTAACTTCATGGGCGAAGTAAAGTTTAAGCTGGTATTTAAATCTGGTGGAGCTATTGAATATGGACAAGCAATGCTGAAGGCCGCACACCTTGGTATATGATTTATTAAATATTTCATTTTTTTTTATAATCCAATAAGAGTTAATTTATAAAGTAGAGAGGCTTGATAAACTAGTGTGTGCTGTTATGAAATCCCTATAGACATTTGAATAGAATTGTTTTACGGCATGACGCGTAAACAGTTTTGTGGTTGGTATGATCAGCAAACGGTTTTGTGGCTGGGTTCTTAGCACCCACATCAAAGTAAAAGATTACAATGTAACTAATTCTCGGTTTGGAATTGTTTTACTTATGTAGTTTATCTGAAAGTTGACACTTCGTGATTATTTTTTAATGCTACTCTTCTCATTGGTGAGGTAACATCTAATTGTCGGACTAAACATTTCTTCAAGAATTTGTAACTTATATCTAGTAAAGGACTGTTGTAACTTTGAGACTTAATACAAGTTTACTCAAAACGCATGACCGAAATTAAAAAATAAGAATATATTATTAGAAATCAGAAAAATATTAATAGAAATAAAAAAAAAGTAAAAAGCTGTTACTAACAGCGCACGCGGGCATAATGTGTTTTACGGGATGTCAGAAGTCTAATCCTTTTCTATTTTCTTTCTATTATCTGTTTGGCACACATAACATTCTCAGATTTAGAAAATATTGCGATGAAATCTTTTCTATTTAATACATAATTAAAATATTCTGTCAGTGTTCTAAGTAACGATAAGGTATCTCAGTTTGTTATCACAATGTCTACTTGTGGCTTATCTGTTACTGATACATAAATGTACAACACGTTTGTTTGTTCATCCGATTCTACCTTTAATTTCGTTGAAGCTATCATAAAAAATATTGGATGATAACAGTATTTGCAAATACATAATAATATATTTTTCTTGACCGTTATATATCTAAATACTTATATAAAAAACTTTGTCCTGTCTGACTGATTGACTGATGAATCAGCAGACTAAATCGCCTTATCGCTTTATCGATAGGGTCGTGAAATGTGCTAGACGTGTTTCTTCTAATCGTAGTGTGCGCTTGGCCATACTAGCACAGAAGTTAGGGAATTCATAATATCATCTGTAAATTACAATAATAAAGAATTTCCCTATCTATTCTAAAACTGTGAGGTAATCGTTAGAATTATGTTTTTGGTACCTATGCGCGGCCCCAAAACAGTTTCAATAGGTGTATAATTCAGGTTCAAAGGCTGCCTTCTAGTCTCTCCAGGTCATCTTGTAAAAACTGTTTTATTCTACGGATTGTTTTTCTCAATACTTTCGTAAGTTATGTTCTTAGCGATAGCCGATGATCAGTTACTTGGACCTGGACATTAGACAAAGAACAAATCATGTGTTTAATCATTGTGCCAACGTTTTTACTGCAGAACGTGGAATTCACTTTACAACACGCGGCAACTGGATTTCATGGTGTAGTACTTGGTGTGTGTACTTGGATCGATCGACTTTAGTATACCAATAACCAGTTAGCCAATAACTTTTTATGAAAAACTCATTCCTAAAAACTGTTACTGTTTTAGCTTCTCGTAATTTATCACCCGGTGCTGCTCCACCGCCGTACACGCCGCCGACCGGACCATGGTACGCTGCGCCACCACCAGCTTACGCGCCGCCAGCTCAGGGTTATTATGGATGGGTACCTCCTTATACAGTACGTATTAAAACTATATTAAGATTAAAACGTACTGACTACACTTAGGAATTCCACTATTATTCAGTGATACAAGTTTAAGTAGGAATAGGCGACCACTAAATCTAGGGTCCTCTTCGACTAAAAGATGTCTAGAAAATAATATACACAATAATAATTTACACTGGCGCTTGGAAATATATCAAAATTGTCCTTAATTTATTATTTAAATGAAGAATGCAACACAATCATAAGGACTTTTTTACAGTTTATTTAATTATTTTTTTTATAAATGAAAAGATCTCTAAAGATTTTTGTGTAAGTGTCAATTATTTGAAGGTAAAAATAATAAAGAAGCACAAATTACCTACTTTCCATGAGCATTTTGTTCGTGAGCGTTGTTTGCAGATAGATCTTATAAAAAATATATATTTTACAACCGTATTTTACAAACGTAAATTCAAAAAGTTGAATTAGAATATTACAAAGATAAAATAGCATTAAGATCTTGTTTATTTTTTTTAAGAAACCGCATTAGAAATATATCCTGTTTGAACCCATAACACTCGGCGCAGCAGGAAGCGGCGTGGCGACCGCTTAAACTACAACGCCATCAGTGCAGTCTCAGAAGATAGTAATCTGACTCTAACCGAATTTAATAATAGCCTGCCACTTCCCCGCTTTTAAGCTCAAAGTTAACTCAAAGCTCAGGAGCTCTATTGCTGACTCTGGAAGGTTAGGGAATGCCGGTGAGCTCAATAGCGTCAAGGGCGTCGGGTTGTCCAATATTACAACACCTATATTACAATACCTGTATAGTATACCTACCTTTTATATTGATGCCATAAGTTACATTATTCAATACTTTTTATTACAATTTACAGACTTTCCCAGACCAACCTCCGCCGAACTCAGTATTCATGTCGAACGAACCTCCGCCGTATCCAGGTGTGACGGGAGTAGTGTATCCGCCAGGCGGAGGTTTTTCCGGAGCACCCGCACCTTCCAGCGCTACAGGTGCGGGCTTCCCTTCAGCACCGCCTGGATACCCTGGAGCCCCAGCTGGTTACCCCGGAGCTCCAGCCGGATACCCTGGAGCCCCGGCTGGTTACCCTGGTGCTCCGGCTGGATACCCTGGAGCCCCGGCCGGCTTTAACGGAGCCCCGACTACTATGTCCTCTAGTGGTGAGAATGGGAAACTAAAAATTCTAAATTTAAATTTTAAACAGCGAACAAATAGCGTTTGTCTGCCGCTAAACTGAGCATTAATTGTAGTACACATTTTAGGAGACACAGGACATATTGTGTTGTGTCGATTCGATTCTATCATCCGGCTTTACCTATATGTGTTGACTCTAAATTTGGAAAAGCCAATTTGAAGAATCATAGTTCCTGTTCAAAAAAATGTAAAGTGATTCAAATAAATAAATCCGGATTCATTTCATAGGCTGTTGCCCTAAAATACAATTACTTTGACATTCATCTATCAACATAGAATGGTTGATGTTTTTTTTCATCATCTGAACAAATGGAGTAGAGAAAGTGGACAGTAAACTCGACGCTGACTTTAATAAGGCTTTTGATCGACGAACCCAGTTTCTATTTGATTCACATTCACTCTCTTGAAAATGAAATCAATAAATTTATCAATTCTTTGGTTTGCAGAATTTCATTAGATAATATTCTCAGATTTAAATACAGATTCTTTGCGAATTCCCCTTTTTGTTCCTGGGTCCTTGTTCCTTTTAACATTTAAAATGTAAATAGCCTCTTCTCGGAGACGGGTTTGAATCTCATAAACGCTCATAAATCTCATAAATTCGATTGGTTTTTGTCCAAGAAATTTTCTAAAACAGGCGTCTATTGCAATTTTATAAATATACAAGCAATGTTCCATCGATATGTTTTTAACATATTGTAATATTAATGGTTGCAAAAGAAAAAATAAAGATGTTACGCAATTACTTCAAAATTTTGAGGGTCAGGCAGAAGGTAATAAATCGTTTTAAAATTACAAAACATCATCCCTTAAGACTGTGACTAAGGCAGCAGAGTTGCTCGGGAGAGAGATAGCTACGCTTAGTCCACTCCAAAATTTTTTTTTTTTTTTTCTTAAAAAGACAACTCCCGCATTAGGAAAATACCCTGTGTCGCGGGGGACTTTACAAACATACATGAAACGGACACAAATAACACCCAGACTTGGAACAACAATTTGTGGATCACACAAAGTGTCGTTCCATGTGGGGTTTGAACCCACAACACTCGGCGTAGTAGGAAGCGGCGTGGCGACCGCTTAAACCACTACGCCATCTGTGCAATTGATTGAAGTCATCGAATCTACTCTTCCGAAAAATATATAATTTAACTTTCCCTTGAATACTCTTAATGTTCATGTTTGAAAGGCCAATTGACATTATCAATAACTCCCAATGTTGTAACTTTTCTACTTATTGTGTGGTTTATTGATTTAAAATTTATTTTTCGGGTAATTTGTCCCTATTTCATGTGAGCGACTGCACAGCCGAGGCTCCAGTGTGAGTACGTGTTAGCAAATGTGATGAAGTGTAGTTCTCAACAGTAACTGTAGAGTTGTGTTATTAGTTGTGTGGGCTTTTAGCATACTAATGTAATTAAATCATACATATTAGCAATGTAAATAGCATAATATAGAATTGTATGTATCAGTTGTTGCAGTAGTATCAATATACTTTACAGATGCGAAAGCTGCGGAAGCGGCACAAAGCGCTTATTATGATCCCAATAGGCCCCAGACGGCTTACGTGCCGCCTCCATACAATGTAAGTATTATTTATATTATTGTAGTTATTTAAATACTACTGTACTGTATAACTTTATTTAATAACATTTAGTTTCATATTCAAGCTCATTTAGTAAATAAACATTGTTAGTATTATGTAAGTATTGTGGGCAACCAAAAATGGCAAATATAAGACAAACTAGTTGCCCGTTCAGATTAATAGAATAATCAATTATTAAATACAGTCTATCTTAAGGTTGTCTGGAAAAGATTGCTCAAATCTCGGCATTAGCCAATTTTTATTTATTTAATTATTCCCTTTAACCTTTTAGAACCTGGTTTAAAATAAAGTATTAAATATACATTGCCAGACTGACCTGTCGGCCTAGTGGTAAGTCATCCTGACTGCTAAGCCAGATGCCACGGTTTCAATTCCCACCCAGGACAAATAATTAAGTGATGAGCTCGATCATTTTGTGTAGGTTCATCAGGAGTCTGGTTATCATAGTACAAGCTCTGTTAGTTTGGGATTAGACGGTCCTGTGTGATATGTATGAGGTTATTATTATTATTATATCTAACAACATGATGCTGCCAACCATGTAGTTGAACTGATGGATTCTGAATCACTTGATACCTTGAGCGCTATCTTTAATAGATAGTATAACTGGGCGTCATTCTTTCTAAACAAAAGGCTCTAATAATTAAAGGCCCATTTCTTATAATTACAGGATCAACCGCCGACTTATCAGGAATCTGTGTCAAAGAAGCAAAATTAAAGCATTGTCCACATTTTCACTTGCCAACAAAGGCGAAAGAAGAAACCGAAGAAAAACAAAAATGTTTGCATGTTTGAATCGTTATCATCGTATTTTTTTACATTCCTTATATAATATTATATATTCAAAAAGTAAATAAGAGTTTAAAAAATTTCAGGCCAATATTTGCTTGGCCTTTATTGGAAAATTATAATAATGTAATCGAGTGTTTGCTACATAATTTGATAGTATAAATAGTTTAAATAGGTACCTGCGATACAGATTGCTAAATATTGTAGATTCATATTAATGACACTGTTAAACAATAATACATGTGATATTGTTATTGAAATGTTTAAATTATTTCTTAATCATTCAGTGTTATAAAAAATAATAAATGTATATAATCTTATTTATTTGAGTGGTTAGCACATTAGAGCTGTACACATTTGTACTAAACTGTTTGTTTATTCGTTTCTGGCACATTTTTGTGAATATTTAATGCAAAAGCTGTAAAGTTATATTATTTCAAATGTTTTTTTTATTTCAATGTTACGTAAATTACCTACCATGCTTCTTGTGTTTTAAAGGAATAGAAATCCAGTATTTCTATGTATGTTCAACATTGTCCATGTGTTTCACCACTGATAAAATAATAGTTGCTTCATTCAACAGATCTATATTAAAGCAAAAATACTTAGGTACACTACAAAATAATAAACTCTGACTTTAATTAATATATGGCATTAGTATTAGTAGAGTTGTAGGCGGTCCTATTTTCGTGCAGATGACGTGCGAAATACCATGATATTTGGGCCAGCCAAGATCCTTCTAAAAGCACCTCGAGTCTGGAGGTCTTTGCTGACCTTGCAACTGCACGGACTTGCCCGTAGTGTGGCGATCCTTTTTCACATAAGGATAACGTGAGGGATTGTTTTTTCTGCGTTAAGACATCCTCTGGAATGTTCAAATACTTTTAGAGTAGCCATCACTTGATTACAAGTCACGCTCTTAAAGCGCCCACTAATGAGGATGTTCAGGTCGTATTTATACCCCGCTTTGAGGAATTTGCAATCATTGAGTGACGATGAGAGGACGCCGTCTTGGAGGCATCCTTTGGTCATTATCTTTCAAGAATTACGACTTTAATGTTCAATATTTCGCAAATATATCACTGAATCGAAAAATAGTCTTGACAACCCCTCAATATTTTTGACACTCACGCTAAAATGCGGTCGAGAAATAAATCATTCCATTTTTTTTTGTTTTACCACTTTATTACAGCTTACTAATTAGTACCGACTAACAGTCATAACTAAGCCGCGGACCGGCGGACGAACAGACAGACAGACATGGTGAAACCTTTGATTTGATTCCTATAATATGTATAGCAGAATAACCCAAACACGAACAAATTAACTCTAGTTAACACAAGATCCTTAAAGTATACCGTGTGCCTGCGAATAGTAATTTCTCCCGTGTACTGTAAATAACTATAAATGATCTAGCTTAAGTACTAGCTTTTTCCTGCCGCTCCGCCCGCGTAAACATCGGATATCGCGGTAAAAAGTAGCCTATGTTTTTCCTCAAGAATCAAAGTATCTTCACAACAAATTTCATCTAAATCTGTTCAGCGGTTATTTATTCTCCATAAAAACTTCCGGCTTTTTACCCCCTTAAATGATGTTTTCTGGGATGAAAACTACCCTATGTCCTGACATACTTTCGCATTTATAATATTAGTATGGATATTGTGGTGGGTGTTGTGGGTTCGATTCCCTTTTGACTTTGTGTGATCCACCGATTGTTGTTCTAAGTCTGGGTGTTATTTGTGTCCGTTTCGTGTATGTTTGTAAAGTCTACCGCGAGCGCGACACATGAAATATGCCTAGTGCGGAAGTTGTCTAAAAAATACTTTACTGAATAGTTTACTTACTGAACAGCAGCTATTCAGCATTATATTACGTGCCTTGTACGAAAGTAGCCATGACCTGTAAGAAATTGAATGACACAAGTGATCCACATCAAGCCTCTCCATCTCGACCAAATCACAGAAATCGACTGGAAGCACACCTGCCAACACAAGCAAGGCCTCAGTGCTAAACGTCATATATGCCTTGAACAAGAATATCAGTGCTAGTCCATATCTTCTTATGCAATATTATTTTATTGATATAAATTGATGCTTTGCGGCAACAAACTCAGCAAATGGCCTTCATCTGCAACCATTTGGAATGTGACAAGGCCCCTTGCACTACAGGACCTTTTGCTGATCTGTGTGGAGCTCTTAGAGTCTTCTATCTTGAGAAACCCTTTTTTTTTTTTTTTTTTTCGTGCGGAAATCCCCTCGGATACCACCTGTCGGTGGCATGTCGGACTCGAACCGACTAAAAACGCACGCCGTCTCGGGTAATAAGAATAATAATAGCCGGGGAACCAGGTATACCCTAGAAAGGAAGTCCCTGGTGGGCTCTTGAGAAACCCTGCAATAGTATCCACTTATGACGGAATACAGGTTTAATTCCGACACTTTACAGTTAACACCGTGATCTGGCCGGTTTTAAGGCATCTTCATATGACAAAGATTTTTATTATTATTAATTGCTGCTTTATATAGCCTGCTTCTCTCTTTTCTCTCTGGGCGGTACAGTACAAAGAATACAAGCACTTTCCGTTAACAGAAAAAGTAAATAGAGTATAATTTTCTTTTTTAACATTTGACGTACCGTAATTGTCAAATCTTAAAAATAGAAGATAAAAATGAAATCCCCGAGTTATATATAACACCAATAAACATAAAAGTTACAAAAAATATTCAAAATGAATCAATAGTTTAACAGAAATCAACTAACCACAATTTAACTTACAATATTATGGGTAAGTAATTCGGCTTTATTAATATTTAGAAGACTAGACTCTAGTGACAGCTTTGTACAAAAGCATGCTAAATAAAGTAGTTTGATTATAATAATATTTTGACGAAAGAAGCCAGCCTCGCTATGTATACACAAATTATTTAAAATTTTGACTTGGATTTGAAAGTTACCTTTTTGCTACGTAAAAAAACAGTCTTGCCTTAAACTATTTATTACTTTTCAATTTATACCTTTCTAATGTGACTTCTGATATCCAAGAATATATGTAAGTAGTGTTCAGATATACTTGAACAGGAGGAATATCTATAATATAGGTTATTGGACGACAACATGTTTTATTTATGTGCAATGTATTCTTTGATTCATGCTATAACTTGCTATTAATTACCTGCAAACTCCTACGCTCCTGCACACAGCTATCGATCTACAATAATTTTACGTTGAATTCTTTGTAGTTTTGTAGGTAATTAGTTTAATCAAATGTAAATATATTCACTAAGGTAAAATGTTCCTTTTTAGGTTCTCTTCAAAACTGTTTTTGTATTTCTACCCTGAGCTGAATTCGTCAAACTTTTAAATGATTTCCTCGGAAGTTTTACCTTAAAGTAGCAAATCCATATGCAAATATACGGCTCCTTCAGTAGTGACTTTTGACTTTCTGTACAGTCAGGTGATGGTGCACTCAATGATTAAAGTTGTTCACGGACCAAAATACGTAGCAATGTGCTATTTGTAGATAGTATTTCAACAAGATTTGGGACATTTTAAAATCCTACGGTTATTTAAAATCAAATCAAATCAAATATATTAAAGAAAGTTTGCTTGTTTGTTGCGTTTGTTGTTCTTTTAAGTGAAAATATAAACGCACGAAATTGGAGTACACATTTCACAAAGAAAAACAGTTTTGCAAATATTTTTTTTACTCACCCACGTATTGCTCAGCCCGCTTACGCTCTTATATTGAAGTGTTATTAAAATATTGAATTTAACCTTATTTAATGTTTAAAAATTGTTGGCTTATAATACGTACCATATTAATTATTTAAAAGCTCTCTCTACTCTTAGTAAGACCAGCTGTGAACAAAACCACGCAGATAAAAAAAAACCTTGTATTACTAATCATTGGATGCCATCACATTAAGGGATTCACTATAGAAGTGATATCTTATCTATTCATCAATGCAAACGTGAACAATTTTTTCTATTAAGTAATTAATTTGTCTTAGATAGGGTCAAGTTTGTGTGTACATCACAAAATTCTTTACAGGAAGTCGTCGACTATCCCTTATGACTTGTCATTTAAATGTAAGAGAACAAATTAACTGCATAATCAAATTACTCTACATGTAAGCACGCGTGACAGGCATTGAACTTTTGTACAAAGTTGTTTTGAAATGGTTTGGAATGGAAAACATTTAAAGTTTATTGCAGAAATCCTTTTTAACTGTGAGTTTTTTGCAGACTTTAAATTATATTGTTATAACGCTATCTGTAAATAATTATATGTTAAGTTCTCCATTTCACGTTTTATTAAAAAAGAAGTTAACAGAATCAGAATGTTACCTGTCGTAAAAGAATTATATGTAGGTAGTACATAAAAGTTAGTCATTAATATAATTATTGGAAGTTACCTATTTTTCGCAAAAGGATCATTTCTTAATTTTAAATTTTCCAACTATTATTAATTACTAACATTTTTACGTGATATAACATTTTATTACAAGTATCAAATGTATGGATTCCGTCGGTTCGAACTCTTAGTGTGAATCATTAATGATTGTTGCGCTTGTTATTAACTTATGTGCTTTACTGAAACTTTTTGATACGTTTAGGTAAGTTCTTATTTATTTTATATTTTCGAGCAAAGTGGCAAGTCTGTACCTAACTGTAAGGAAGCTGGCTTCTCTTGTAATATGATCTTATATTTTTCCTATTATAGATAAATCTAGAATAACTATTCGTTGCTCTTTGCAGAAACACGCAATCATTATTAATGGCTCCCGGTATACACCCACCATGCACTCCGACCTCATCGTGTACACCTCAACGATGTCATCCTACACCACCACCATGCCCGAAACCAGAAAAATGCCTGGAAAGATCCTCAAAAAAGGGGTCAAAGCCGTGCCCGAGTGCGGTCTCCATATTGGCAACAAAGTCAAAATTAAAATGTAGTGATTGTAGCAAGTGTGGTGGGAGGACGAATGTCAAGAACCAAAACAAAATAATAAAAAAGTATCTCAAAACAAAAAGGAAAGAATCCAAATTGAAGGCAGAGGATAGTCGATCCGGCACCCATCGCTACGAAGATTATTTGAAAAAGAAGAAAGGCTCAGCGAGATATGCAGATCCGTGTTGTCAAGGCAAGGGCCATAGAGGCGTGTTAGACGCTAAAAAAACGCCCAGATCTAGGGGCAAGAAATGTGTAATTTTGTAGATACAGCAAAGACTAAGACTACAATAACAATATTTCAAATATTTAACATTGTCTTTTACTGAAGTACCTAGTATAATTCAAATAAACAGTTGTTTCTACATCGTGTTTCTTTTACAAATTGGCAGTGATACATTCTGTTGGTCAGAAGCAGTAACGTCAAAGCATTGAAGCCATTGATATGTTACTGTAAAACCTATTTATTATGTAATATATATAAATATCATATTTACCATGCATATGCATATGAGTATGTACCTTTACTACTAAATTACTTAAATATAATGTGAGGATACTTTGGGTCGATGCTGGCTTCTTAGCGATAATAATTTTAAAATAAATTGTTAAAGCTCTGCATTATTTACAGTCGTTTTCCGACTATGGCAACTACCAAATATCGGTCGTGTACAGTAACACCCGTCCATATAAAAAATATATGTAGAAAATGCCATGCCTCAGATATAAAAACCCCGTTTCCAGAAAGACATCGTAAATATAATCCCTACAGAAAACTAAAACCATGTTCTAGCACTGTAATTAGGACAGAATCTCGTCAAAAACCAAAATTGCCACGTTTTGGCAAATGTTACAATGTCAATAAGACGACGTGTCGAAATACAGAAAGAATAGTGCATAGGGGTCAAGTAGCGCTTAAAGAGATGAATGGCATGATTGGAACTAAAAGTGAGGAAAGACAAGGCAGATATTCTATATCAACTCCAACATTTACCGAGGGAAATCGACGTTCTAAAAAGCTTCAAAGTATTGTTAAAGAGTGTGTTATCTTCTAAAAACGGATCACGATACATTAAAGGACCTTGTAACCGTGTTTTGTCTAAAAACTGCAAGAAAAACTGCAAGTTCCTAAACGAAGAGTTAAAAATATGTCAATGCTTAATTTAAGAACTTCTTTGTACAGTAAATAGGTATTTAAATAAAACTATTGATCTAAAAAAAGCAAATTTTTATTCTGTATTTGTGATCCATTGTCACCTTGGCATGATTATTTAACTAGTTTTACTAAAATTGAAACCTTGAGAAAATTTGATGATAATGAGTAAATGGTAGGTGATTTTGTGATCTTAATTGGTTTGAAGAGAGAAAGGAAGGTTAAGTACAACTAATTTTTATGTCTGTATTACCTCCTTTGCGTTTATTGGAGAGGACCAAGGTTCACTAAAACTTTCAGTTCAAATTGAATAGCTTAGGTGCAATAAAATTGCTTAAAATTTTAATAATTAAAATTATTGTGAATATTGAGCACTCGCTCTTTTTTAATATTATATCTACTAATTGTAATCGAAACGAGATTTAGATATAGAACGCAATCAATTTAAAGACTGCTCGTGGGTAAAATACCTAATGTTTAGTAGAGCAATATTTACGACATTATTCTTTCAAATATAAATGCAGGTGTATTATAACTGGTACTCGGTACTTAGTAAAGATTAAAAATAATTAAAAGTACATTAAAAAAAATGTCCAGCCAAATATTCAGAAATTTGTTAGAATTTGCAAGAAGTATCAGTGTGAATAGACGGGTGTCATGTCACTCATGTCTCTGCAACTCAAAGGAAGGATCCTCGTCCTCCCAGCAGGCGAGATAATCTTGACTGGCAGTAAATACTTATATCGTTGCGAGAACTTTTCTACCGCAATGTAAGATTATTTTTTAAAGACAATTCCCACACCAAGAATATATCCTGTATCTAGGAAGACTTTACAAACATACAATGAAACAGGCACAAAGAACTCTCGGGGCAACAATTGAATTGGGACTGCATGATGACGTACTGGTTTAAGAGGTGGTCGTCGGCACGCCGCTTACTTCTACGCTGAGTTCGATCGCCACATGAGACGACACTTTGTGTGATCTACAAATTGTCTTGAGTGAGTCTTGAGTGTTCTTTGTGTACGTTTCATGTATGTTTGTAAACTTCCCCCGCGACACAGGATATATTCCTAATGCGGGAGTTGTCTTGTGAATCACAAACTGTTTAGCGACGCTACATTCACCGCGGCGAGATGACCACTTAAACTACTACGCCATCCGTGCAGTCTAAGTTATCCGTAATTCGGTTATTTAGAAGTATATTTTTTGTTGTATGTGGAAGTCGCCGGATCTCCATGTTTGCCAAATTTCATCAAGCCTTCGCAAATTGAAACTAGTAGACAGGAAGTTAGGCTTAACTTGCCTAGGTTTTCTACCACTTGACCAATCCGCTCGAGGACATTTTTAGACCCATCAAAGGAAGTTCATCAAACGAAGAGTTTAAAAAGAAAGAAGATATAAAATCTATACTAATATTATAAAGCTGAAGAGTTTGTTTGTTTGTTTGTTTGAACGCGCTAATCTCAGGAACTACTGGTCCGATTTGAAAAATTCTTTCAGTGTTAGATAGCCCATTTATCGAGGAAGGCTATAGGCTATATATCATCACGCTAAGACCAATAGGAGCGGAGCACCAATGAAGAATGTTTCAAAAACGGAGAAAATTTATTACTATTGAGAGACGCAGACGAAGTTGCGCGGGTCAGCTAGTTAGATAATAAGATTTTTAGGTTGTCCAGTAAGCATGCTATTATCATGTCACGCTGCGATCTATTCTGCTAAAGAAGTAAAATAGTTTATAATACTGAAAGATCTAAACTAAGCATAGGTGCTACATAGCTACTTTACAAAGCATAAGCTATGCTTAGTTTGGGTCTGAAAGGGTCCTCGATCACGGATAGACACATTCATTTACGACTTTATTTATTAGCTTTTTCAACTCGTTACCGTGGTAAAAAGTAGCTTATATCGTAGGTTTTAATATCTATTGTCAGCACGTGTAGTGTCAGCAATAATATGTTTATAACGCTGTTTTTCATAAAGTTAGGAAGCTCTGCTTTGTGACGTGCACAAAAGACCTTTCACCCATGTAATTTAACAAGGGATGCGCCTTGTAGACTAGGTTGAAAGCTAATCTAGCCATCTTTGTATTTAAAAAAAAAGCTTGTAAATCTACGGATTTATCTAGATGCAATCGACAGAAATCTGCAGGTTGTCAAAATCAGACCTAGAAATACTGCTCCGCGTCTTTCAAAAGGTTCTACCAACATTTTATTTTACGTAAGAATTGTATATAATTATATATCAACTAGCTGACCCGGCTAACGTCGTTTTGCCATATACATTATTTTAATAAAAATGTTTTTTTTTTTTATTGGGGTATGAAAAATAGGTGTTGGCCGATTCTCAGACCTACTCGATATGCACACAAAATTTCACGAAAATCGGTAGAGCCGTTTCGGAGGAGTTCAACCACGCACACCGTGACACGAGAATTTTATATATTAGATTTTGACGACGTTAGAAAGATCTGTAGGTACCATATTCGAGTCGAACTCGTAGCTCGCTGGTTTATTTTGTTAATTTGTGAATGTACTGTACTTGTGAATATGAATGTTCTTTAGTATGTCTCCGGTAAAACGTTTTTTGACCATAATTTGCAAGAAATGCATCTAAAATGTTTAAATTTTCTTAATCCCAAGGATCCATGTGTAAAAACACTTGCCTTATCTTATTGTATTTGAATGACAGCTTTTGTCTCGTTTTTGGATTATTGTACCTACTTTTGATTGTCTGAAATAATAATAATATTACCAATGTGTAATCCCACCTTATAAGTTACCTAGCCTTGGCTTCTACCTATCTACATGATACATCATTATGTTCCAGCTTCCTTGTCCGATATTAGAAGTAAGAAATCTTGTGCCGCAACCCCGAGCTGTACTATCCACAAATGTAGACCAAGACCGAATCCCTGCCCAGACCCTGAGAAATGTTTCAATAAGTCTAGGAGATCACCAGTGAAATGTGAAAGCGCCAAAGAAGTTATAACGGCCCGCGGAGCGCCTTGTACTTGCAGTTCAGAACACACGAAATTCACACGAAGACATAAAGATCGCAACACCTGTTGTAGAAAAAAGAAATCTTTTAAACAAAGAATAAAGAAAGCTTATGCCAAACGTTCCACTGTGTCTCGTTGGTCTGATCCCAATCGTAAAAAATGCATTATTTTATAGGGGTGCCAACAAAATATAAACCACTTAATTCGGCAAGCAAAAACCTCATACGAGTACAAGCAATAAATAATAAAGAAAGTAATTTTCTTCATCAATCTTCAATCAAGCTTCTAAATGGATTAAAAAGCTCATCTGGTTGCTAAGAGAGCGCTATTGAAGCTGAATTTATTAAAAATATATTCAGTTTTCGAAGATATTTCATGGACAATCACTTGCACAACCAACAACAACACTTCCAAAAGAACACAAGTTACGGAAGAAGATTGACGGTACATGAGGAACACAATGATTTTAATTTTATTATTGATAAATTTCTTATTATGTGTTAGAGATTCTTTTTATTTCTAATTTCTGTCAAAAAGAAATTCTACTATTTTTTGTCTAATGTTTTCTCAGTAATCTTAGAAATTGGATATTTAATCACTAATATAAATGTTATGTTAGCCTACTCAGATAACACATGGGTGACATTATTTTAAAGTTACGTAAAAGCAGGTACACCTTACTTTTTACATGAAATGCACTACTTAGCAGTTTTCATTTATTAGAAAAAAGTTTCTAATTGTTAAATGGTATTGGTATTGGTTGTGGGCTCCGGTTTCGCATTTAGACTCAAGATGACCATCTTTTATGCGTCGAGGACAGGTTGGCTAGGTGAGCCAACCAAGCTCCTTATACTTGCCCATTGTGTGGCCACGCCCTCGCATTCCAGGATTACGAGCGCGGCCGTTTCTTCTGCACCTTCTGCATCCTCTGCAAAGAGGAATGTCCGTCGCATTAATGGTGAATAGTTGTCGGTTCAGGGCTAGGTGTCCTGTTATGGACCCTACAACTATTCGGATATCTAGTCTACTAAGACTGATCAGTCTACAAGTAAGTCCTGGTCAGACTTCAGTCAACACCAGTTTAGACTGTCAGCAGCCGGGTGAGTTTTT